GAGCTTTTGCTCTAATTTTCCAAGAAGATTCCTTCTGGTTCCTGTTCTGAAGGAAGATGATTTCATTGCCTTGTCTCACAGTGGGTGGGGACATGGACTGCACCCAATCTGGGCTCTGTGCAGTTCAGAGGCTAGAAGACGAAAGTCTTTCAGTATTTTCTGGTTGTAAGGGCACCTGGAAGCCTTGTGTAAGTTCTTCTGTCTGGAGCAGTTACCTAGTGGTTCATTCTCCATCCCAAGAATTGCCATGTGTTGTAGCTTCACTCCTTCCAAGCCCTGGTATGTCTGCTAGACTGCAGCAGATGAGACTGATGGCAGAGCAGAGCTGAGGGAAGTCTCTTCTGCCCAAGTGTGTGGCTTGAAGTTCTCTTCGTGTACAGAACAGAGGAAACTTAACCAGGTCCAAAGCGCTGACTTGGTTATGTCTGTCGTTTAACAGAGCAAGTTCTTTTGGCACCTTAGCAGTCTCACTCTTTTACTGGAACTGCCAGCATACTTGAAGTTAGATGATTTCTGTAGGGCTTTATTGAATCACAGTATTTATCAGGACTGTCACTATGTAACTTTCAAACTTTCTATGTGCCTGAAAAATTCCACCCTGTAGATGGATGAGAGTGTGATGTCGTCCTAATTGCATTTTTATGTAAATGCTTGCTATAAAATAATTTTGGATTAAATGATGTGTTCCTTTCATGTTGGCAGAATATAATTTGTCTTAAATGGCAGCAGACTGTGGTATATGTGTTTCTGAAAGTTAAATATTTTGATTCACACTTGTGATTTATTGATTTTACATTGTTACCAAACGGCATTTCAAAATCAGCTCAGAATACCATGGTTCAAAATCCTGTCACTCACATGATAAAGTTATTTTCATGTAACCCACTCTGCAAATGGGATTGGCAAGGCAAGAGGAAGAGCTAGGAAGAGGAGAGGGCAAATGCATTTTAGTGGGTAGTAGGTTTGCGAACAATCCTAATTTTTATTATCTCTGTAGGTTATGCAAACATTGCTTCTGTGCTATTAAACAATAATAAATCCCAAACTGCAAAGCTGTTTGTTATCGTCTCGGCCTGGATTTGGCTAAATGTACGCTAGGACACAGATTTCAGTTTTGGCTTTAAGGAGATACTCAGTGGCTTTAAAAAAAAAATCTTGATCTTCATTGTGCAAACATTACATGTATGTAATCCAGACAAATTCAGTGCAAGCACGTTATTTCACGTGAACAAATGATGGCACAACTTCTCAGTTTGAACAGAACACCTTCTACAGAATTGCTTTCACCAAAGCCAGAGCTGTTCTGGCTTCGTGAGGTCCTTCAACACTCTCTGATTCTGTGCTGCTGACACTTTTGACACCCTTAATTTGCTGCCCTCACACCTGCTATAACTAGTGCTCTATGAGCTTAGGGTAGATCAAGAGAAACCTTTTGGGTCTGCGTGTGATAAAAATGAGAGAGGTGACTTGCAAAGACAAATCGCTTGTGTTTAAACCCACCAAATCCTTCTGGTAGTGCTAGTGTTTATAAAAAAAATTACTTGAGTGTAAAAGACTATCCTATATTCGCAGTACCCTGGCATATTTTAAAAGGTGCATCAAAGAATTCCTGAATATTGTAAAAGTGGGATTAATATGATATTCTCTCTTGACTTTGTCTACTGCTGTCATGTGCATCTTAATACTGAATTTTAAAAGCTCTTAAGTTTCAAACAACCTACTGTATCTCCCATAGCCATGTGTCTGCAATACACAAATGTGTTTTTCTTATTTTTATCCTTTTGTTTCTTTTTCTCCCACGAGGAAAATGTTTTTTCTCCACCAAAGGACTGTATTTAAACAGAAGGACTGCTTACATAAGAAAAGTATTGTTGTGTTTTGCGCGTGTATGCATGCAAACATGCATATAAATAATTGAGTCTATCATCCTATTTTCCTGGTGTATGTTCAGCCTTGCTCTCTGGCTTGTGGTATAATGGTACCTTCCTCCTGGCATAGAAAAGAGGCTCATTACATTTTGAGCAGCAGAAAATAGTGGCACATCATAAAGCAGTAGCATCTGGTATACTCAGTCTCAGTCAGTGCACGCCAAAGGAATACTGTGTGCTGCTAGTATGTCTAATAGACTTTAATGTTTAATAGGTTTTCTTACTACAATATTGCTGCCTTTCACTTTCTTTGACTGTACTGTCCAATTATCACATGTCCTTGTATGTACAACATTCTTTCACAAAGAGATACATACACAATAATTTCATTTCATACGCAACATAAGTTTCCCAGGCTATTGGAATTTCTGTATATTAACTAACTGTCTCATCATTTGATTACAGATATTTTTCTCATAGTTCTTTTAAGGTACCTTTGGGTTTTGAGGGCAAAAAGGTTCCCAAAACTCTCAGAAGTAGACTGAAGTGTGTAGGTGGGTATAGAATATCTTCTGAGGGACCTCTTAACCTTCATATTAGTGGGAATAGAACTTAATACTAGTGAATTACAAAGTTTTTTATACTAGTGATACCAAGGTACGCTTATTCTCCCACTCAAAGCTAGTGTTGGCTGACAGTTAATTGTTAGAGTAGGTAGGAGTAGTTAACTTGGGTATTCCTTTGCATACATCTCTCTGGACCAAAAGCGGTGGCAGCTGCAAGAGCATGTGGGCTGTGGTTCTAAGGAAATATAAGAAAACATGTTTGTTTTAGTGGAGTTCATTCCTGTACAAAATTGTAGCGTGCTGCAATAGCATGGTCTGTGGCTTATCTAGTTGTAATTCAAACTTAGGAAGCTGGGTTCCTGTAACTCTGCTGGCCATAGCTGTAATTGGAATTCCACTAAAAATAGAGACAAACTCAATTTAAACACTTAAGGAGGGGAGTCTATTTGGTTTTCTTTAAACCCAAATATGTTCAGTTCAGATTTTATACATTTTCTTCCTACTTTGTTGTTTCCATTGTGTGAATTGTACTGCTACAACTTCCTTTTTTGTATTGCTACAACTTTTTTTGCAAAGAAATGTTACATTTGGCAAAGTTTTAACAAGAGTTCTCATACACACAACTCAATTTCTAGATGTTTTAATGTCAAATAGTTATTTAAATAAAAATGTTAAAAAAATTATTGGAAGAATGCAATTAAATGGCAGAAGTGATTTTTAGGAAACCCAGAAGACAGAGCTGTAGCCTTTGAGAGTTCCTGGCCTTCACGTTGCAGGATCTGAAAAGCAAGTTCTCCTATCTGCATCTCAGTACTTTTATGTTGCCTTTCCAAGGAAAAGGGAGTTGGATACAGGCCTGAGTTAGATCTCACGGGGATAGTGTTCAGTACCTTAAATTACAATCAGATGTATTTTAGTTCAGATGAAGTTTTCAGCCTAAAATTGGTAAGAAGCCTAATTATTTGACCAGGTTACTATTTACGTAGACCACTGTATAGCAATCTGTGATTTATCCACAGCTGGCAACGTTAGCCTTGAAAGGTTTTTATTTTGTGTTTGGAACAGTTTTTAGAAAATCTAACTCTGTTCATTAAATGAAAAACTAAAAGATGGTAGAGATTGCTATGGGGACGAGATGTTATATAAACTGTTCATTTTAATTCTTCAGAATGTAAAAATATCAAGGAAGCTTGGATCTTTACAGGCTTCCAGTTGTTCAAGGTACTGAGTAACTCCACAAGATGCAAAGCATTGTTTTGCCCTTTGGACTTTTATTGTCATGTAGCGAATTGTGCCCAGATTTTGAAATCAATCATGTATTTGTTAGACTGGAGAGCATGGAGTAAGGAGAAATAAATAGAAAGACTTTCTAAGTAGTCTTTAATCTGTAGACTCTTCATTATATTGTTTTTTCCAGTGAGTAGAATGCCTAAGATGATCTGTTAGCTGAAGTATGTAGGATAAAAATACAGGTATTCTGTGATCTGAAGACATAATAACATAGGTAAAAACTGGAAAATAAGACTGTTTCACTATTATACCTTTTAGAGTGTCATGGTGGCAATGTTACAGATAGGATGGAGATGGTGTTTTATTGATCAACTACCCCCCCCCCCCCAAGTTGTTTGTTACTGTGCCTTAGACATTATCTCTGGCCTTAAATTTAACACTTGCTGCTCTTGCTTGAAAATTACTATGATTCACCAAGATTTGAGAACAGTTAGTAAAATTGTTTTTAGGATTATAAGAATTAAACATACAAATTTTGTTTAATTAGTGTAAAGACTAAGCCTTTATCTAATTAGTAGATTAATGAAACTGTAGGGGATCTTTACATAACCCCTGGAACACGTGCGGTTGAGGTAACCATCTGCAATGCTAAATTCAAAATGGCAGCCTGGAACTGTTCTCTTACAGGATTGAAATCAGCATTCACTATTTAGTAGACAAATAGTCATTTCTGGTTGAGTTCTGTTTATTTTGTTTCACAAGTGATACTTAAGTGAATGTTCATATTCAGAATAAAGAACAATACTTTTGGGAGGGAGGGGGAATAAAACACCTGTCTGGAAATGTGAAAAACCCTAGGTTTTCCCTGCAAAACAACAACTACTACTACAATGACAGCATACTCAACATATTTATTATAAACAAGGTAATAATTTTTCAGGCAAGGGATTTCATTAATCTCCTAGCTGTGTATAGAGCCATCATACTTGACTTTGGAATTAAGTAGCACAGTCTGGTTGACTCTGTTACTAAAAAGGGGCATTTAGAATTATATCACCTTTTAAAATATGAACATTAGTCTTAGTTGCCATGGGAAAGTGTACTACATGGAATACAGAGGTAGGGAGTTATGTTTAATTTCGGAGGGCTGTGATTCTAGGCATATGCAGATTCTTTGTCACCTCCATAATACCTTAATGGAAAGGCACTATTTTCCAGTTCTTACGTGTGCACGTGTATGACAAAGGTGGGTTGGGAGAGACCTAGAAGGAGCATACTTCATGTGGTTCCTAATGTGAAATTAGTAACATCTGTTGATTTGTTTGGATGCTTGCAGGGGTTCTTCTTGACGGTGTCACCAGAAGCAGTATTAAAAGTGGCTACTCAGGCTTCTGCAAACAACAAGGTCTTCAGCTTGAATCTTTCTGCACCATTTATTAGCCAGTTCTACAAAGAGCCTATGATGAAAGTCATGCCTTATGTCGATGTCCTTTTTGGAAATGAGACGGTGAGTCTTACGAAAGTAATGGAAGTGTTTGTGTCTCTTGCACCTAGCTGTTTGTGTCTAGGAGCCTGCTTCCTGGTTCTCCGTTATTTATAGAGAGAGACTGACCATGTGAAGTGTCACTAGAAAATTAAATCCATGGTCACAGGACTGATATTTCAGTAGATGACAAAGATGTCACTTGACCTGTTAGACGTTTACAACTTGCTTATTCTAGCGTAGAGACACATGAACAAGTTACTCCAAGTTAAAAGGGGAAATACCCAACACGTTGGCTGCTTTGTAGTAACTGTCCATGTGCCTAATGTACTCACCCAGAAGTTAACTCTCTGCTGAAAGAAAACATATGAAGGGCTACTGCAGAGCTGCTGAGGTTCTGTAACTTGTTTCCGTACCCATACTGCTACTATTAATAGCATTTTTTTTCTGTGATGAAGACGACTCTTTGGGGACAAGTGGGAGAAGAAAACTAAGAAACGGTTAATTGGTTTAGAAGGTTCTCATTGATGTTATGGTAGATGGACCGGCAGTCCATCTAAGGAAGGCTTATCTTTGCTATGCAACGGTTGGCAAATAGATTGCATGAAATTCTGCCTGGAAGACCATGGTAACAGGCAAAAGATGGGGAGAATCTTTTTAATAAGGCCTGTTGTGACAGGACAAGGAATAACGGATTTAAACTAAAGAAGAATAGATTTAGAATAGACATTAGAAAGAAATTTTTTACAATGAGGGTGGTCAAGCACTGGAACAGGTTGCCCAGAGAGGTGGTAGAGGCCCCATCCAAGGTCAGGTTGGATGGGGCTCTGAGCAACCTGCTCTGGTTAAAGCTGTCCCTGCTCACTGCAGGGGGCTGGGCTAGATGACCTCTAAAGGTCCCTTCCAACCCAAAGCATTCAATGATTCTGTGATTCTATGAAATGAATTCAGATTTCGCTCATTGTAGTGCAATCATTTTTTAATTTTTTTTCCACTTCAGAAAGCACTCTTAAATATTTATTAGTTTGCTCAGCAGAAAAAGGTTAAAAAAAGCCTTGGAAAGTGTGACACACCTAAATGAAGTGTAGGCTTGTCTCTCAAGATAACTACATTAGTACAGGAAAATTATGGGAAAGCTACTTATTCCTGCCAGTGCTTATTCCTGATTGTGACGCAGGGAGTTGCACTGTCAACAAGTCAGTTTTTACACTATTGTACATGTGTCCACATTAGGGGCTAACATTGTTACAGATACAGAACTTTTTTTAAAAAAAAGGTGTTTTTAAAATGAACAAAATTGCAATGTTTTTAGATGCAGTAGGATAAGGGAAATGTTTTTAACTACAGTTAACAATACAGAAGAAGTGTTTTCCAGACATTTTGCTGCTATTGCCAACTGTTACCTTTATTCTGTCTTTCACAATACAGTCCTCACAAAGATACTACTGAATATTTTGATTTAATAGCAGTATAATCTCAACAAAAAAATCTTGTAGATTTCACAAATTAAGTAATAACAAGTTGTCCTGGTTTCGTCTGTGATAGAGATAATTTTCTTCCTAGTAGCTGGCATAGTGCTGTGGTTTGGATTTAGGATGAGAATAATGCTGATAGCACACTGATGTTTTAGTTGTTGCTAAGTACTGCTTACACTAGTCAAGGACTTTTCAGCTTCCCATGCTCTGCCAGGTACACAAGAAGCTGGGAGGGGGCACAGCCAGAATAGCTGATCCAAACTGCCCAAAGGGCTATTCCATACCATATGGCGTCATGCTCAGTATATAGACTGGGGGGGGTTGGCTGGGGAGCAGCGATCATTGCTTGGGGACTGGCTGGGCATCAGTCAGCGGGTGGTGAGCAATTGCATTGTGCATCATTTGTTTTGTATATTCTTTTATC